TTATGATCTAGACAGATTCAATAATTTAAAAACTTAAAATTGTAATTTTAGAAAAAAGAATACCTTGTTTATAGACTGTACGAATTGCATTAATAGCAAATTACAGAATAATTTCTTTAAAACATGAGGTATCATATTTCCCTTCAGAGTTTATACTCTATAAACACTAATGTAATAGTAATATTAAATACAGAAAAAGTTGCTTAGCAGTACATAACAAATCTTTCCAAGTTTACTCTAAATTATGAATTTTCAAACAGAAGTATTTACAGAGAAGATAGTTCATGCATAGTGCAACAAATTTTGAAGAGACTTATTGCCTATATGATGCAAACTGTTTTGTTATACAGTCAAAAGTCGTTAATTCGGACACCCATAATTCGGACCTCAAAGCTAAAAACTTTCTGCGCATGCGCCGCTTTACCACAGGCGTTTTACGCGTGCGCGAAAGACCTTGACTACTGCGCATATGCGTGTGCGCAAGTGCAGAATACGTTTTCGTCTGCGCGTTTAATGCAAAACGGACGGTGTAAGCTAAAATGATCTAATTATCTATTTCAGTTAATGTTAATGATTGCGCTGTTCCTTAATCTTCGAATTGGATCCCGCTTATTATTTTTTGCAGTCTGTAAGAGCAATTTTATAAAAGTAAACTTGAAATTTCGATTATGTGAAATAGAATTTCCGATGCTGGAACTTCCAAAGGATCTACAAAACGAAAGTATGTTGTCCAACAAACAAAAAGTGAAATTGCTCCAAAAATGGATAAAGACATGAAGAATGTGACAGAGAGGTTAGTGAAAACGAAAAAATTTCGATTGACAAGTTAGTCGGTATTCTCGTCACAGCAATTAACGGGACTTGAACAGCGGAACTTTGTAACTGAACAAGAAATTATGTCTGTTCATAGAATTAAAGAGAAAATATTATCACATAAAACGAAGCAACTTAAACAACTTACATTGAAAGAAATGTTTAATAAAGTAAACAAATAAATATTAAGCTTTTTTTTTTGTAAACTTTGATACCCTTTAGATCATAACTGTTCTTTATTTCATAAATTACGGTTTCATATTTTTAATTTTAGAATTTCTTTATGCCATCTTACGAGATTTAAACTGATGATCATATCGCAAAAAAAAAAAAAAAAAAAAAAAAAAAAAAAAAAAAAAAAACAAAAAAAAAAAAAAAAAAAAAAAAAAAAAAAAAAAAAAATAACAAAAAAAAAAAAAAAAAAAAAAAAAAAAAAAAAAAAACAAAAAAAAAAAAAAAAAAAAAAAAAAAAAAAAAAAAAAAAAAAAAAAAAAAAAAAAACAAAAAAATAATCCAAAAAAAAAAAAAAAAAAAAAATCGATAATCCGGAATCGCCGAAGTCCCGACGAGTCCGAATTAACGACTTTTAACTGTATTATTTGATATAGGCTAGCCAGAACTCGATCACAGATTGAGATATAATACCTGTTTGGCATGTACAAAATTTAAAGAAATTTTTTATATATCACAAGGCACGTTTTTTGCAGAATTTGTGATGGTTAACTATAAATTTTTGAAACCCTGGTCTGACCGTGGCACCAAATTAGCACTATTGCTGTAGAAGTACTATAAGCCAATTATCTCATTGTAGTTGTGATGCATGTGTTGCTGTTATTGATAGTTTATTTGAACAGTTCTTATAAATATTCAATATTAAGATCATATTTTGTTCTCTACACTTTCTTTGAGTATTTAAATTTTGAAACAGTCATGGCTTTATTTTCTGTTTTGTAGCTTTGAAAAATTAAAAAGAAAAAAAAATGTATTGTTGTTGAAAATTCTGAAATAGAAAATTATATTATTGATTGGTTTGTTTCTTTGTCTATTAAGATATAATTTATGTCCTTTAAAACAATTCTTTTCCTGCATGCTTATATATCTTTAGCAATATACCATTGCAAGCAAGCATCTTACTAATAATCTTTTTAACTAATGAAACTAATTCCATCTATGCATACCTTAGAATTAAAATAACAGTTTAATACTAAATCAAGTTTAATGACAGAAATACAGGTGGTAAAGATAAAATGCTGAAAACACAGAAAGTAAGTTGAATGGTTGATATATGTAGAAAAAAACACATTCCTGGCACTGCTACCTATTATTTCCCAGTTTGGCAGAATCTGCATTTAATTTGTCTTTCATAAAGATGCAGCCTATACAATTGATATCCATTTTTTTTAATATTCAGAAATGCAGTGTTCCATAAAATTATCGCAGAGGCAACACTGCAGAACACAAAAGTGTTGAGAGCCGCGTATAAATTCCGATATTTATTATTTTTTTTTCAGTTTCACTTGTATTATTAAAATGCATGATAAAAGTACACAAACATTAAAAACATACTTATTAGAGAAAAAATGAGCATAAAATTTTTAATAGGAACATTGTGCATGATTTTTTAAAAATATGTGAGCTTCTTGTTTGAAAAATATGATAATGATGCAAATAGTATTTGCAAGATGAGTGCCTGAAATTTTGCTCATTTTATATTTTTGAATTGCATCATATAATAAAATTTTTACTCAAATGCACCTAATTTCAAATAGCAATAAAAAACTGTCATTTTTTCTGTAATTTCTGATTTATGTATCTGTTGATTTGCGAAATCGGAGAATAGAAACTGTCTACCTTTTTTTTTTAAATTTTATTGATTTAGTAAGGAAACTATTTAAAATTAGGTAAAAAAAATAGGAGCCTAGATTTTGGATAAAACTAAATTGATTTTGAAAGTGAGCAAACACAAATCCCAGTTTGCCTGGAGCAAAGAAATTCAGTTTCTAATTGTTTTGATATCATTATAAACTGTTATGTGAGAGATATTTATCCCCAAGTATGAATGGTGGCATAAAAAATATCTGTTATTATACAAGCATCATAAATCCAATAAAACACACAGATGTTTTAGTAGCAATTATATAAATTTTATTCCCAATTTTGCCCATGATGATGAATGATGTGACACGAGAAAAAAATAGCAAATAATATATGGAAATGCAGTTGATTGGCATTTTCAAAAACTTATAATCTATTTTTAAGGTCTGATTACAAAATAACAGATAATACTGTTTATTTATATTTTTTTTATTCAAACACAGTCCATTGTGAATTAAATTATTAATCTTATTGTGAGGTTACCATAATCCCAGTTTTATTCTGAATATTCTTTGAAAGAGAAATTTATAGACTAAGTTTGGCTTAATCAGTGAACTTGACAAAGCAATCGTATCATGTAAAAATATCTAATACTAGAATCTTACTGAAGATTTTTTTACGTGCACTACATTTTCTATACAAGAACAATCTAAAAAATTAATACTATTTATTCTTTCGCTTTCTTATAGGGAGAAACATAACCAAGCCATTCAGTTGTATAATGCTCGAAATCGTTCAAACATACATATTCACAGATATCCACAAAGACTAATTACAGATTTCCGAATCAAAGTTGTGAACTATGGGTTTAATCCTAGTATCCGGTGCACACGGGATTTGGCGACTTTTATGACGAGCAGTAAAAACGGGACATATACGATGAGTAGTAAACGGGTATTCAAAGAATATATGTAGTTATACATAGTATATACTATGTATATAGTGATAGTATATAGTGTATAGTATATTATCACTATATATACTTAGACGTTCTTTTGGTAATTTTTGGTGTTGGCGATAATTTTCAAAAATCGCGCCAAGGCTGCACCGTATACTAGGATTTTACCCGAGTTATTACTGTAATATAAGACCGTTGTTTGTTTGCTTGGCGAGGGTTTAATCCTAGTATCCGGTGCACACAGGATTTGGCTACTTTTGGCGACTTTATGATGAGCAGTAAAAGCTGGACATATACGATGAGTAGTTAACCGCTCATTCAAAGAAAATATACAGTTAAACATAGTATATACTATATACATATAGTATAGTATATATACTATATATATACTATATACATATAGTATAGTATATACATATAGTATAGTATATATACTATGTATATATAGTATATATACTATGTGTGTATATACATATACTACGTGTGTATAGTATATATATAGACGTTCTTTGGGTCATTTTTGGTGTTGGCGATAATTTTCAAAGTCACGCCAAGGCTGCACCGTATGCTAGGATTTTACCGAACTATGTTTACATCGACCAAAGTTGTTGTTGGTTCTGCGCGGAGCCAAAGCTGACAGCTTTGGGCGGAGCTTCGTTTTGACGTCGGCTTGCACATGAAGTGACGATCACGTGACCACTGTCCGTTCGGCCCAAGGCGTTTGTCTTCCGGAGAACCTTTGCAACTTAATGCAATTACCTCCACAACTTCGATAAGGAAACTGAAGTAATTAAGGAAGAGCATTGGCTAAAGGAAAAATGAACGAAACCGTTAAGGGTTTACTGAGAAAGAAATGAATAAGAAGTCCGCATAAGGGACGAGTAGTTCTTTCTGCTTTCAACTTGTTATCCAAGATTGAAAGAGAGAGAGGTGATGAAAAAATCACCAGCCAGGTCCGAACCCGCCATGTCGGGATCTGCAGCCACGCGTTTTAACCGCTGAGCCACGGTTTACTTTGTGCGTTCGGGGATTTAGAGTACAATGATACGTGCGTCATGCGTACAATGTTACGTGAAAAATCGAATTTAGAAGTTTTAACGAAAGTGTTTAAGGACAAGTTCTTAAGTATCCTCACCACCTATTCTATTCTAACCTCCATGGTCCTTACCGCATGAAATCGAAGGATATTTTGCTGTTAGCATTAGAGGTTATTTTGTACTTCTCTTTCTTACTTTGGCCCATAATTTCTTAAAAATATAGTCTGGGACTTATTTTTTTGTTCTTTAATTTACCTTTTTTTATTTTGACTTTAAATTCGTATCAAATGCTAGGAATTTAATTTTCTCTTCATTAGAGCTACTAGAGATACCCTTACTCTTCATCATTACTCTTTTTTCCTTTCCTTTGCAACTAGGTTTGATCAATTCTTTGGCTTGATTTTTCGCCTTGCGGGCAAAAAGGCTTCTTAGTTGCAAAATAACAACTTTTTTTTGTGTTTTTTGCAGGTTTACGGCTATTGCTTCGTCACAACGTAAATTAGTAAATTATCTAAGTGAGTATTTTCTCTGTTTAATTGTATGGGTAAAATCCTAGTATACGGTGCAGCCTTGGCGAGATTTTGAAAATTATCGCTAACGCCAAAAATGACCCAAAGAACGTCTATGTATATACTATACACTATATATTATCACTACATACATACTATATACTATGTATAACTATATATATTCTTTGAATGACACGTTTACTACTCATCGTATATGTTTCGTTTTTACTGCTCATCATAAAGTCGCCAAAAGAAGCCAAATCCCGTATGCACCGGATACTAGGATTAAGCCATTGTATGAAATAATTTATGATTAGTATAACATAAAAATAATTTATAGAAACTAAAAAGTATTTTTTCTTTATAATTTAATGCATTCAGTTGCATAGCCATTTCATTTTTTTATGGAATTAAGAGGCATTTAATATTCAGCTGTTCCGTATTTTTCTGAATGTGGGAAAACATTTGATTGCGTTTAGTATTCAGAAGCGACCATAACGTGTATTCGTTTATTTGTTTATAAATTTATGTATCTTTTTCATCTGTCGCGTAGCGGTGAAACTGGAGATTACTGTTTGGCTCAAAAACTTTTTTTATCTTGAGTTGCTCCGGAGATAAGTACTCTAGAATATCTTTTTGCAAAGCACGCAGATCATATGGTAGCCCTCTAAACAAATTTCATAGATGTAAAGATTTATTATTTTCTAAATTAGTAAAATATTTGGGTAAAATTAGTATACGGTGCAGCCTTGGCGCGATTTTGAAAATTATCGCCAACACCCAAAAATGACTCAAAGAATGTCTATAGGTTGATTTTTACATTATGGTAACTTGGCGTTTTTTTGGCGAAAATTTGGCGACCAACTCTCCTACAACAACCCTCTATTTTTTTTTCCCGCCGCCATTTTGTCTTCACGAAGTAAAGGCATGTTTCTTTTCTTTTTATCTACTGAACACTTCTTCCAACAATCTACTAGCCGAATTACACTTATGCTAGAAATTTTATCTAACAAAACTGCTTAATCATGACAAATATTCACTGCAAAATTGGGAAAAAGTGCACAATACCATACTCCTTGCGCGTTTTTCAAAATAACACATACACATAAACCATGTACACGCCGACTTATTTTTACTTAAAAAAACATCCCAGAATTGCACAAAAATGGCATTGTGCACACTCTTCACTATATCCATGTACACTGCTTTTTTCTCATAAATTAGAAAAATTTCATGAAAATACATGACAATTTTCTCAATCTTTAAACCCAGTAAAAAGAACATATGTAAAATTACCTGATCGCGAAAAAGTATTTACCCTTTCCAAATATGAACATTTCCACATATAAAATAAATAAAATATCCAAAAACTTTTACCTCTAAATCATCTATTACATTATACACGTCACCAACGAATTCATACCGCAAGCATTACAAATACTTAGTATCAAATATTTAAATTATTTCCATGCACGTTTACTTCAACTTAAACGTATACCAAATTCCTACAAACATAAAATTCACAAAATAACTATCATTTAATTAAAATATCACTAAACCATGTACACGTCGACTTATTTTTACTTAAAAAAACATCCCAGAATTGCACAAAATGGCATTGCGCACACTCTTCACTATATCCATGTACACTGCTTTTTCTCATAAATTAGAAAAATTTCACGAAAATACATGACAATTTTTTCTCAATCTTTAAACCCGGTAAAAAGAACATATATGAAATTACCTGATCGCGAAAAAGTATTTACCCTTTACAAATATGAACATTTCCACATATAAAATAAATAAAATATCCAAAAAACCTTTTTACCTCTAAATCATCTATTACATTATACACGTCACCAACGAATTCATACCGCAAGCATTACAAATACTTAATATCAAATATTTAAATTATTTCCATGCACGTTTTATTTCAACTTAAAACGTATACCAAATTCCTACAAACATAAAATTCACAAAATAACTATCATTTCATTAAAATATAATTAAATTCAAGAACACTACTTAAAATATAAATGAGCACATACATTAAATTAATAAAAATTACCTTACAATCCTAATTACTTTAAACTAAATCATTGCTGATAACAATTTTCCCAATAATACCAAATTCCTTTACTTCCACCTTACATTTAGAACAATGCATAAAAATAATATCCTCAAATAATTAAAAATACTAACTTACCTAATCTTCTTCAGAATCTTGATTACGTGTCCGATAAACTTTTCTTTAGTTACGGCCATGGGATCCAAAAATTCACGAACACTGTTTCACACAACACAGAATAAACCAAATACAAAATTTCCAGATTTTTTCCCGATTTCCCCCCTTTTCCGATTAAAGAACCGTAATTCGTCCATTAATATCACATGACATATCCCATGATCTCTCATTTCCCTCACACAAAATAATGCGTAATCGGAACTGAGTACTGCTCACATTATTACCAAAGTCCCAGGTAGTAAACTTTATCGCCTCCAAAATGTCGCCAAACTACCAGTTACCATATTGTAAAGATCAACCATGTATTCTTTGAATACCCGTTTCTACTTGTGGTATATGTTCCGTTTTTACTGCTTATCATAAAAGTCGCCAGAAGTAGTCAAATCCCGTGTGCACCGGATACTAGGATTAAACCAATATTTGTTTGTTGTTTGCTATTGGATTACCTCCCTCCTTCCTCAAAAAAAAAAAAAAAAAAAAAAAAAAAAGTCGTGGTTAACTGATTTGAAAACATCATAGTGTTGATATCATATTGTACTCCAAAATGCTAGCAACTACCATATTAAGCGCTTATTCGGCAGTGCATCTAAATGTGGGAAGAAAAGTATGAAGTTTAATTATCAAAATCTTTTGAGAAAAATATTAAATATAATTATTCAGATGCTTTAATTAAGATTAGAATCTCCTTTTAGAAAAGTCACACTTTAATAATTCTTTTGCTTCTCGTATTTCATCAGGCAAAACTGAAATGTTAATTTTTGCAAAATCCTAAGATTAGCTCCTTGTAAATCTATTTAATAAAATAGATATTCTTGTTAGACACATAAAAGCTCAGTTTGAATGTCATTTGTGAGATTATCTTCTTGTTAAGTATATTTTGATCCTGATGTCGTTTAGTAAAAATTTAATTTATAATAGTATTATGAATGAACATAAGTCATGGTTTTCGAACCATTCCCCTATGTATTGGACTTGCACTCATATTAAAATAGAAACTGATTTTTTTTTTATCTGTTTCATGCTAAGATTACAAATGTTCAGCAATATGATTGCTATCATTCATTGGAATAGCTGAACCTATGATTTCAACTAGCTCTTGGTATAATCTGAAATCACAGGGTGTAAGGTCTGAACATCCTTCATAACAGACTACATAGGCTGCTGTATTAGAATATGTGCTTACATAAAAAACAAAAGGATAGTATAAATTGTATTAAAAAAACAAAAAATTAAGTTCATCTGTGGAAACAAAGAACTAAAATGTTATTAATGCGGGATACCTAGTTCTGCTTTTTTACTTAAGCATAATTTACTGCTGAATGCTTTCAATCATGCCAGGGTTTTATTTAGAAAAGTGTTTCTCAATAACAAAATTGCTAAGAAATATTAATGTGCAATAACAAAACAGCTTCAACAACTGCATTTGTTAAAGGAATGTGTGAGAAAAATAAATCTTCAATTGTTAATTGCGTTAAAATAACTCCTTTCTGCAGATAGAAGGAATAATAGTAATGTAAAATGGTATCCAGCTGTTGTTACTAAAATAATAGGTTAGATATGAAACCATTGGTATTCAGTATTATTAACTGCTCGAGCGCTAGTTATTATCAGAGCTGACTTATAGCCACTCTCGGAGAACGACATCAAGAAGCATCAAAATAAAAGCAAACTGAGATTTCATAAAAACCAACTAAAATCCTCTTTTCTGAGATACAGGTAATTGTGGTAGAACAAATTTTCATAGAATTTAATCTAAACAGATAGTGTTATGAAATTAAACATCATTTCTCTCTCGAATCTTGACATTGAATAACATCCTTTCTCTCTGTATTAGTTAAATGAGACTCAGATATCAGTTTAATGACATAAATCTAGAAAATATTCATAGAATTATTTCTAATTTGAATCAAGTAAAATGATTTTATCCATTATAAAGGTATACAAATCAGGAAATACTATTTCCTGGAATGCTTGGCAAATAGACATGGTTTTTAAAAAGTAAATACTGCTCAATATAAGTTTTGAAAATATTCTTCTGTGATATAATAAATGTTTCGGTCATGTAAGTGGTACTTTATGTCTACTCTTTAGAAATATATCCTACAGGATTTAATAAAGCACAAATAATTATTAAAAGTGTAAAGGAAACTTGAGTTTCTCTGTATAACTGTTTAACTTTTGGTGCAATGAATGCATAATGGTAGACCTGTAAACATGTTGCTAGCATGTTGCAAGAGGAGAGCTCAGACTACAGACACACCTTCCACCTTTTAAATTTAGCAGCTATCAAAAGCTTCTTTATCAGTAAGTATAGGAAAATTTGGGTTAATCTTTGAATTATGGTAACTTGGCGACTTTTTGGCAAAAATTTGGCGACCAATCCTGCTACAGGAACCTGGTAGTTTTCGTTTGGACGCCATTTTGTTTTCACGAAGTAAAGGCATGTTTTTTTTTTTTTTTCCTTTTACTCAACATTTTTTACCAACAATCTGCTAGCCGTATTACGCTTATGTTAGAACTTTTATGGAACAAAAGCTCTTAATCATGACGAAGATAAGGTGCAAAATTGGGAGAAAGTGCAGAATCGCAAACTGCTTGCCGCATTTTTAAGAATTGGACATACACGGTATCATCCATGTACACGTCGACTATTTTCACTTAAAAAAGCATCCCAGATTTGCACAAAAATGGCATTGCGCACACTTTATCCATGTACACTGTTAAAGTCCTAGCTAGTAACCTTTATCGCCTTACCAAAATACCTGTTACCATATTCCCAAAGATTAGCCAAAATTTATTGTTTATATGTATTACTCTTTTTAAAAGAATTCTGAAAGGAAAGAAAAATTGGAACACTTGGATTTATAGTAAAATGAAGATGAAGATTTGTTACAGCTGCAACTAACAAAGTAGTCAAAGAGCTTCCAGATGAATATAAAAAGAATTTCTCCTTATAAGTTAAAATGTACTTCTGCTTAGTATATGATAATATACACTAAACATATTTCCAATGAACAGTAAAGTAATTTTACATAATATAAATTACAAATTTTTCTACTTTAGAAATTGAGTCTTTTATTGATGCAAGATATTTTTCTAATAGATTTTTCAGTTTTACTTAAAGACAAAACTATCGATGTTGCAATAGTTAAATTGCAATGTCAATTTGCCATTAACAGTTAGAAAATTTAATTTAAGTTGTGGAATTAACAAGAATCAGTACTCAAAGGAGTTGAATTGGGAAACTGAAATTGCTGGTGAAAATAAAGTATAGTGAACACTCTAAATTAATGCAGGACATCTAGACAATCACTCATAGCAATGTTGAATGTGAAAGAATTTTCAGTATTGTTAATAATATATGGACTAAATTTAGATCCAGTGATATTGAACTGAGAAAACCTTTATAAGCAAAAACAGCCTATAGACAATTACTATTAGAAAAACATTGATGCATTTTTTAAAAAAGTAATCTACTACTACTGCTAACAACTGTATGAAAATAGATTAAAACATTGATTTTCTTTAAAATGTTTTAGATAAAATATTTTTCAATGTATGAATGTTTTTGTACTACTTGCATTTAAAATGGAGAGACTGCAGTTTCAGGTATTCGTTATATAGAATTTAGTTTGTTATTGGGGGGATGCTTTTTATATGTTTTTACTCTGAAAAAAAAAAAAAAAAAATGTTTCGATGATCCCAATGTGTAAAGTGAATGGGAGCCAGTTTCCATGAAACAATTCTCAAATGAAAGCATCTCTTCTGAGAATGTTTCAGAAGTCTTCTATGTCTCTTCTGATCTTTGCATGTTTGCAAAAAATCAGCCAATTCTTAATCATTTTATTTGGGCGATTCCAAAACATTTTCTAAATAAAACAAGGTATCGCTATTTGTAGTTAAACATAGATTTGGGCAAGAGTATTCATTTTAAAATTCTCACTAAACAGTTATAAATGTTTAAAACTCCGTCTAACTTTTGCATACAAGGAACTGAAACAAAAAGTAAACCTCTTGTCATTTAAAGGCTTTCATCACTAGCTTAAGTTATGCTCTATATTAATTTAAATTTTAGCAGGGTACAAGTTAGCCTTCACAATTATTGTTTATTGAGTTTATTTAAATAATTACTAAAAATTTTTTGGAATTACTTTCCACATTAATATTTTAATCGTGATTTAATTATGTTATGCCAAGTTTTTCTTACGTACTCTGATTTTTAGAATATTGATTGCAATGGATGCAGATCTGTATGATGAATTTGGGAATTATATTGGCCCCCAACTTGATACAGACTCGGAAGAAGAGGAAGACAACTATGACAGGCAAGAACCAGAAGCAATTGAATATAATGAGGTTCGTAATTATATTTGAGCTAACGTCCTTTTTATACATTAAATGCAATTGAATTTTTTTAATATTTTTCTGTTGTTTTTGTTAATACAGAAGTACCTCCCGTAAAGGATATCTCTGAATGACGGACACCTCTATTTAAGGGGCAAAAATGTGTGGTTTGGTGGATACCCCTTTTTGGGAGATACTACTGTAATTTATTAATTATAAATAGTTATGACATAAAATTTATTTCTAAAAATTAAAGAATGTAAAATTTAAGGGATCAAAAGCTTAGTTTTGAAATTGTTGGTAGCCTTCAGTATAAATGCCTTATTTGTGTATTTATGTGTTATCCTGTTGACCATTGGCAACACCTTCTTAAACACAAGCCTCCCTACTGAAGGCTCATAGCTTAGTGACGTCACAAACTGTTGGCCTTCTCGATGGGGTGCGAAAAATCGCCCCTAAACCAAGGCCGCCATCTAGATGGCATTAGCATGTTAGGGGAATTTCGTCCTTGGTCGTGAGAAGGCGCGTGAACCAAATCTCCTTAATTTGATATTGATTTTTTTTTTTTTTCGATTTCAATCATGCCTTTAAAGTGCTGTGTGCTGTTATGCCGAGAAAATTATTGCGACGGTTCTAAAGTATCAGATCTTTAGATTCTAAAGTATCTAAAGTATATAGATTTCCTGAGCAACAAGATGTATTACATAGATGGTTAAAATCGATACCGCGAGAAAATTTTGCCATTTCGAAGTATACTCGGGTAAGTTAAGCCTAACTTGAAATTGAAATTTATTAAGGTATTTGCTTCTACATTTAAAAGAATGGATACGTTAATATTAAGGAATTTCATTTTTATAGAATACATTGTGTATAATATTGTGTAATTACGTATCGATTAGTATAATTATGTATCGAATTGTATGGTTAATAATTATGTATCAAATTGTATGCTAAATATTTACTTACTTTTTTAAATGTCTAATTTTTTTTACTTTTGATTAATTTTATAACTTGGAACTTTTAACTTCATACGTATATGGCAGCAAATGAAATTATTTAGCTTAATATTTAATATATTTTGGCATTAAAAGTTTTTCTAAAGAAACTGTGAAGGCAATAAATATGCTTATGGTTTTTTAAATTGTAATATAAAGTGCACAGTTTTGCGTAAAACAAGAAATAATTTAAATTCCTAATGCATGAAAATTCAAATATTATTAAAACTTATGTCACTAAGAATCCTTTTCTTCCCCCCCCCCTCCCGAGTGGAAGACAAACACACATATGCTTGCTATTACCTGTTTTGTTAAAATATAAATTGCATTACTAGAAATCCTACTTTAAAATTAGTAATTAGGTAATTATAGTAATCTGAGTGAGCTTTCATCATGTCTAAAAAGTGTTAAGATACCTGATGATTTAACAGTTGTGATTAAAGAAAATATTATATTTTTTCTCCAGATAAGCACAGAATTTGCTCCTTTTATTTCTGCATCAGTCGTTATCCATGATTATCTGCAAGTGGAAGCATATTTTAGAGATATTCCATTAACAAAAATTAGTAACCGTGAATTCCCTTTAAAAATTAATGATGTGCATAATCTCTGTTCATTGCTTGAAGAAGTTGCAAAAATTAAAGGTAATAATAATGAAAACAGCTTTTTTTTATTCGTAACTCAAGGCCTTCGTGAATTAGAAAAAAATGTTCCTGAACATAAAAAGAAAGTAGTTCAGTTTATATTTGAGCAGCTGACATTACTCGTTTCGCATAAAAATAACAATAGGTATAGTTCTGATCTGTTAATATTATCAAGTTTGATGTTTTCAGTTTCTCCACATTGCTATAAATTTTTAAGACAGTGCATATGTTACTTTGCCACATCCTTCTATATTGAAAAGATTGTGTTCTGAATATAATGTTGATCTAAAGTGGAGCAAACTTCTGAAAATTTCCTGAATTATGCTAAGGAAAAAAATCCGCTTTTTAGACGAAAACAATAATATGTCACTTTAATGGTTGACGAAATTCACATTAAGCCATTCTTAGATTTCAAAGGTGAAAATATAATAGGAATGTAGCAAAATATAATTGTGAAAACGGTGCTAATTTTGCTTGTGTTTTTATGCTGCAGAGTATTAGGTCTTCATATAAGGATGTTATAAGTATTGTCCCAGTCAATCATTATCAGCACAATTTTTGCATGGATATATTGTGAAAATAATAAAAGGTTTAGAAAATTTAGGTTTTTCGTGTAAATATGTGTGCTTATAAATCTACCCTGCTAAAATTAAAAAACTTATATAATATCCTTAAAAATATAATTATAAATTACTTATATAATATTATATCCTTAAAAATATTTCCACACAACCTTCTTATATTTTTTATGCAGTTAAGTGACTTGTATATTATTAGTATGGAGAGAGATTCCAACATTACCTCAAGTCCTTATCAAAAGTCAACCAGTACTTTAAAGCATTGTTTTAACTGTAAACATACAATATAAGATCACACAAAAATGAGTAATGTATAATATATTTTGTGCAAAGGAAATTTTATCCAATATTATATCCGCGAATGAATCGAAAATATATATTTTCAATATATATCAAGTAAAAAAAGAAAAATAATACCCTCCTATTAGTAAAGCTTTAAAAACATATATAGTTTAAAGGCAGGTAGTAGGTGACCAACAGAGATAGTCAGCCGCCAGTTTGTGATGTCACGATCTCGTAGTTGGGCTTCTGTTTAAGAAGGTGTTGCCATTGGTGGAGGTGGAAATTTCACCAACGGTCATCAGTCACTACTGCAAAATTCTGAGGGACATGGTCATCTATAATTGGTGTTAAATCACGCTATTGGGGTGCATCCTGCTACTACTACAGATGATGAGATAATATGTAAATATCCTAGTTGAATAAAAAGAGCTAATAAAATGTCATAAAATAGTTGCAGTTGTTCTTTGGTTTACTTAACTGTGAATTGTCAATTTTCCTGGTTTTGTATACATGTGAATTTTTACATCAGTATATTAGGAAGTATTTTGAAGATTTAAAGAAGTTTGAAAAATCAAGAGACAAGTTATGTAGTCGAAAAAGGTATTTCCTTGTTAAATTGGCTACCTTGATAAGTCACTAAATTTATAAAATGAATGAAACTTTTAAATATCATCGCAACTCTGCATGTTGGTTATTTTAATAAGAAAACACTTCTATGGGTATATATATACAGTAGAATTTTGAACTGCTGTTCCTGCAATGAGAGTTGTCTACATGTACTGTTCACTTCTGGTTCAAATGAAATTGGTTATAAATCATGTTATTTATTCTTGCATCTTTCTTTGAACTATCACTTTCCACTTAATTGTTTCTAAACCATATTCTTTACATTCTATATTAGGCAATACAACAATCTTGTGTTTTAAGAACGTTTGCAAAATCTTGTATAAATTCTCTATAATAAAAGCACATGCCGAGAAAGGAGGATAATTTTATCCATGTTTGGAGGTGGATAACTTAATCGCTAATTTCTTGGAATTATTGGTCTCGATACCTTTCTTTGAAATTTTATAACCTAGATACCGAAGCTCCTTGGCAGCAAACTTGCACTTTTTCGGGTTTACCTTGAAGCCAGCCTCATTTAACAGAGTGAAAACTTCCTCCAAATGTTTAATGTGTTCGTCTACTCTCTCGCTGGTGACTATAATGTCATCCAGGTAAATTATTGTACTTTTACCTAAGACTGGCCTTAAAACGATATCCATAACCTTTTGAAATCTAACCGGAGCTTCGCTTAAGCCAATTGGCATTCTTAAAAAGGCATAAGCACCTGATTTCGTAATGAAAGCTGTCTTTGCGACATCCTCGGGTTTCACAGCGATTTGAAAATAGCCTAATGTCAGGTCTAGTGTCGTCGTAAATTTAGAAGAAAAAATTTTAAAAATAAATTCATCAATTATCAGGAGGGGATATGTAGGGTATTTTTAATACTGTTTAACTTGTGGTAATCAATTGCAAACCTCCATGAGTTCGGATCCACAGGTGGTAAATTGTTTTTCTTTCTACAGAGTACTACGGGACTTGTGTAGGGACTGGTGCTAGGCACAATTATTTTATTATACAGCATTTTAGGATATTTTCTTTTACTCGGTCATACCTATATTGCTTAGACCAGACTGGAGGGGCATTACCTGTGTCTATGGCATGAGTAACAACCTGGCAGAAGCCAGGTTTTTCATCAAATAACTTACAAAAACTTTTTACCAGTCTTTCGACTTTTTCTTCTTTTTTGAGATGATTGAGAGCCACTTCCAGCATTGTCCCCTCTTCTTCTTCCACAGCATCCATGTAAATCTGCAAAGTAAAATTCTTGAAATTAAGATTTGCGCTAGCTGTGTGTAAGAAATCAACTGCCAAAATGAGTGAAGTTAACAAATCCTATACTACCAAAAAAATCACTTTTTGCACCCAAATTTTCCCATGCAGACGCATTGCTTAGCTAGGGCGGCTTGTTTTTCTCCTATAATAATGCTGCAATGTTACTTTTTAATTTACCAAGAAAGCCCATGTTAAGTTTTAAATAAATTAAAAAAGACAACCTGTCTTAGTTTTTCCATCTCAGAAACTGGGAGATGTTATAGTGTCCAGTTAAATGTACAGTATTTAGAAGAAATAAAATTAAAAAAAAAAAAAAAAAAAAGTCATGCCATTTTAAGAAGAAAATGTTGATTTGATGATCCATCTTTTCGGGGTGTGAAAACAAATGGATAGTGAGTGATTGAAATGATTTTAACACTCATGCAAAGCTGACAAAGATATGCTCCTCCTCCTTGTCCCCCCCCAAGCCTTGTTATAGCCAATAATTTAAAAGTGTGATAGGCATTGATCCTATGATTCTTTTCTGAATGATTATGCATTACTATCTAAGTTTGGTTGTTGTATCTTAAAAAAATTTCATTTCTTGCTTTTCATAACTCTGACAAAATATTTATTGTATTTTGATTTTTTTCCCTTATTGATGTGATGTAATAAAATTTTGAAGAATGAAATTATGGAATATTTCAAATATGTAACTTTTGATGACACTTTTTTTAACTAATAAACTTCTTTTTTTTTTAATGACAAAATTTAGGAAGATGCTATGGATGAGGGACGTGATGAAGATGAGGCACCCCAAATGCAGATAGTGCTTCATGAAGATAAAAAATATTATCCTTCCGCAGAAGAAGTGTATGGCCCAGATGTTGAGACTATAGTTCAAGAAGAAGATACTCAAGCATTGACAGGTTCATAAAAAATATTTTGAGTTATGTGCATTGCCGAATATAAATTATTAACACATTTTCTGCTATAAACATTTTGTTTATTTTTGTCTTTCATACCATGGATGACATTAGTCATTTAATAGAAGTTTTATTATTTTCTTTGTATAACACAATTACTGCATTGTGTAATATTTTAAAGTAATGTTACCTGTTAACCACAGGTAAATCTAGACCTAGGCTACTGGACATGTTTCATTTTTAAAATCGTGCTTTGGTTAAAATTGATTTGATTTTTCATTATGAAACAGAGCAGAATTATTGCTTTTCTCCTTTGATTAATGTGAATCAACGAAAAAAGCTATAAATAGATATGGATTTAAGTGGGTGGGACATCAGAATTTTACCATAAGCTGTATAAGTACAGTCTCGCTGCACTAACTGTGCAGCACTGCCCCAATTTTGAGGGAGAACAGTCCGGGGCCAGCCCAAGTCTCCCAGTTTTCTTTCCCTACAACTAATCATCTGAGAGTACTTTCAGTTTGTCATGTAATTTTGAGTGATTTAATTGTAAAAATTGTGTCCTTTTTATTGAACTGGCAATAATATTCAATTTAAATTTCCCTGATAGTGACTGTATTAAAGTTAAGAATGAGACATTCAAATTCTGGATCCTTCAATCTCTTAAACTTGTGAAAAGTTTACAGATTTGAAAACAGTTTTCAGGTTTGAATCTCCTTGGTTTTTCCACCATTGAAATCTTCCTAATTCTAGGCTAAAAATCATTAAATGGTAAGATTTCTTTTGTTTATATTCAATACAGGTATTCATATAAAGGAGAGGATGCAAATAGTACTTGACACTTCAGTTGATTTGGGCCAGCAGTATCACTTCATGGAAATGATACCACACTCTAAATTCTCTGAAAGGAATTTAGTATTCTGTGTTTAGTGTTTACATGTGTTAACACTTGAAATAATCTTATTTACACTTGTTTTATATTATATTGAAAAAAAATGAACCTCAAGATTCAGAAATTTTAATTATGTACATCATTTATTAAAATTCATTTGTACAGTCTTACTAAATACAGCAATACTTGCAAAGATTGTTCTTAGATTTGTTGTTCATTAAACTGAGGTATCAAACTTTATTAATTGAGCATTTTTAATGTTCAATGTGTTTTTTCCCCTTTTATTTATGTGTGTCTGTGTATTATTATTAAGCCAGAAAAAAGAAAGTTATTTCTTGTTATTATTTTTTTCATAAATTTATAATATTCAAGAGAATTCAGATTTGAGAAAATTTAGGATTTATTCCATTTCTTGTTACAATTATTCTATTCTTGTAACAATCCCGTTCCATTTCTTGTTACAATTCAATACTTTTAAAATTTTATCTCTTAACTGCTGTATTATATTATTAAGAATGTAACTTGATGTAAAGTAAATAGCTTATATAATTTTAAATATTAATAGAATAAATAGGTAAAATAATAGTGTAAATTTACCTTAATGTTGAGTTTTAATGACTCGGTATATTAATTATCAAACAGCTGAAAAATTGTGGGGAAGCATTGACCGTTCAATTTGTAAAAAGTGAAAAGTAAAATAATTAATTTTATTATTGTTTCCAATATTCTGCCATAAGTCTTGAAACCCCAAAGAACTAAGGATTTGAAACTTTGAAAAAAAAAAGGGGGGGGGGACTCAAAGCTTTATGCTTCAGGAATATAAAACTTAGTGGATCACTTGTTATTGGCATGGATATTGCATACTTTGTTTTAAATTAATAATGTAGATACTTGCATATTATCTCAAAACCACTTATGAATAAGCAAAATACACTCATATTGTCTCACTTTCATTATATACAATACAGATAGGTTCTCAATAAGTCATGTTAAAGATAGAAACTAGCTGTTATTGTTATACTTTTTTCTTGCAGTTGGGGGGGGGTAGATCAAAATTTGGGATTGCCAACAGTTATTTTCACTTATGTGATCTTGCTATCAAATAAGTGTGTATTAGATATAATATGGTTAGTTAAAATTGATGAACAAGAACAGTAATAGATTTGAACAACTGCCTTCAGAAAATTTATAGCATTCTAAGCAAAATTTCCAAGGAAATTGAAAGTCTTAACAAAGCAGTAGAAATCAATGAAAAACTTATGAAGTGCAAAAAGGAAGTAGGCCAGAAATATTGATTGCTTATTAAAAAAAATGCTTCAGTTCCTTCCAAAATTTGCAAAAATGATTAACTCAACTTTGGTAGGGTCTTCACTAATTTTCATGGTTCGATGATGGCTAACTTTCACAATCAACAGAATAATATGTTGACTCAACTTTGGTAGGGCCTTCACTAATTTTCATGGTTTGATAATAGCTAACTTTCACGATCTATAAATTTTATTTCTCATAACGTTTCACTATTTATAGCCTATAATAGTATATAAATATAGTTACTTAGAATTTTGAATAAAATTAGTATTTGTTAATTGTCACTTGTATTTATTGTTCAGTTTCAGTGTAATATATATATATATATATACACCACATTATACTGCCTGAAAAAAATAAGGTATATACATTTTCACCCCTTATTAACTGTTATTTGAAAAGATATTCTTGCATGTTTACAATCCTGACTGCTTTTGTTTACATTAAAATAAGACATTTCTGCATGGATGGGAAGAGGAAGTCACAGCTACAGTGACTGAAATTTCAGGCAGATTTTTTTTTTCACAAAGTACATCATATGTGCCCTTCCATTCGAGCTGCAATGGATAAAGCAGACAGGTTGTCTGCAAAAGTCCTATTTAATTTATTTTCAGTCTTTGTTTTGGCCTTTATGAAAAGCTGTAATTTTAAAGAAATGTATTTGTATATAGTGATGATAAAGTTAAAGAATCTGATGAGTGCACCACATAACTCCCTAGTACGGAATATTAAATTATACCCATTTTTTCTTGCATTTCATTTAAATTTATTGGATTGAATTAAATCTACTTCGTTTATAGCGCATAAACCGCAATAGATTAAATGCACTCTTTAAAATTCACTATATTTGTTTACCATAGTGACACTATGGCCGTAGGTTCACTTAACAGCATTTCATTTCGTTCATTTTTTAACTCGGAATGCACAAAATTTATATCATAAGAATTATCTAATTGTTCTATTCAAATACTATAATAAATCTAAAACGATGTACAAAAGAAATTAAGCAAAGAACAACAACAAACAAACAACAACAAAAAAGAAAGAAACAGACGATTCAGTATTTCTCATTCAATTTAGTTTTTACTTCGAGACAAGGCAAAAATACATTAAGACTCAAGATTTCTATTGAAAATTCTGAAGTAAATCTTAAACACTTATTTCCTTGAATAAATTGCAGGATGGATTAAGCATGATTTAATTCGCAATAATAAAAAAAGACATTATCTTTGATATTGTGAAGCTTACTTTTTCTAGATCGGCAACTAATCTACTCTTCTGCTGTTTCAAGTGTAAACAAGCAATGGCCGACATGGAAAAAATTATTAGGCTTAACGGCGCTTAAACAACTTTTAAATTGTTGATAATTCTATAAATATTGCATACAGATTTACTAAAGGCATAAAAACTTTAACCAGAAGATAAGAACAACATAATTCAATCATTTTTAAAGCTAAAAATGCACAATTTACAAACATATAAGAGTAAAAAAACTGAGATCACTAAGCCGAGTAACAGAGTGGATATATATATACATATATTTATATACTTTTGGTGTGGCCAATAGCAACCAAAATACAAGGCGCACATCTACATGTTATAGCAGTTCTATATACAAAATTTCAACATTCTGAGGCTACTCGTTTTTGAGTTATGGAGATACATTCATACAGATGCCACGAAAAATTCTCTTCAGAATTCATTTTAAATTAGTTTTGCAATTTTTTTTTTGAGGGGAAAGAGTCCTTTATCCTGTCCTTACATGCAGATGTCATGCAAAAACATCGTTAAACTGCATTCGATGCCTGAAACTTTGCGATTACAATACTTCCTTATTACTTCGTACAAGGAAGTAAAAAGATTCACCTTAAATATACACATATAGAAAATATGTTTTGCTGTTATTCTCCCCCCCCAAAAAAATCTTTGATATTTAAATTCTGTTTGAAATGATATTAATTGATAGATAGATGAAAGATATTAATATTTTAAATTAATCATGAAAGCTAGTTCTATATTAAAAACTCTTATTTTTTTTTAGAACCTATCATTGCACCAGTTAAGCGAAAGAAATTCGCATATGCAGAGCAGGATCTTCCAAACACTAAATACAATTTAGAGTAAGTATTTGCTGTTAAGTATATCATCCTTATTTTACCTGTAACTATACGCTATGAAGCCAGAAACTTTCAGCATATTAATGTTTGCTAATAATTTTATATCATTTGTAGTAAAAGAGAAAAAAAAAAGTTTGTGATTCAACGCTTTTAAAAAGATATGCTTAAATGTAAAATAAGCAAAAATCTATTGTGGATTGACTGTAGTTGTATAGAAAACCTCCATCAGTTTCAAGCGAGACAGGCATTGAACCCGTTTTCCCAAGATATTTAGTTTAAGAAAGAAAAAATCCATGACCACTGTTAAATTTTAATGTAAAATCAGCTTCAATTTCAGGTTGACCTTTGCCTAATTTTATATTGTTATGTTTCTTTTCTTGCATACAGGGTGTTTCAAAACTTATCGTTCAGATTTCATGGGGATGTAGGGAAGACGTCATTGAACTAATTTCCTGTAGGAAAGCGTGTCCGCAAATGTACACGAGGGCGCTGTGTGTACCCAACCAGTGCACAGCTTGCCGACCGCTCCTGCTGTCATCAGTGTACGAGTTGACTTACTAGTGATAAGATGAATCTTTTTATGCATCAAAAACTAGCGAGAATATCACAGCATCAAATGTGTGCATCGCAATCTGTGCGAACGTGGTTCACTGCGCAGCAACATGTAAGGTACAGGGAAAAGACAACTGATGCGGACTGTCAACGTCGTAGAACAAGCCCATTAATAGTGCACAAGCTATTTCTCAGCAGCTTGCAGTCTCTCTTTCAGCAGTGTGGTGGATACTGCATGAGGTATGTGTGCATACTTACCATCTGCAAAGAGTGCAGTTACTGCATCCTAACGATTAACCGAAGCTTGTGGAATTTGCACAATGGTTCATGCAGAAAGATGCCGTAGACCCCAGTTTTCCAGCTTGTCTTCTTTTTACACATGAAGCTTCATTCACTCATGAAGGTGTGTTCAGTACACGCAATTCACATGTGTGGGCTTATGCGACAACTCGCACGGTACAAGAAGTCACTGTCGACAGTGAAATGGGCCTTGCTGCCCGAATAGTCGTCACTGCAGGAACTGTCCATGATATGCCAGGTATTTTTACAAATGTTCGGCAGTTAATGCAACAGCACGATGAACCCTGTGTTCATGTAAATAGGCTCCATTTTGAACACCTACTGTGAACCTTTAACTTGTTGGAATAATGGTCACATCCTTACCACTTAGCTGTACTGTTTTCTTGTATTAACTTTACTTGTCCATTTTGTTTATGTAGATGACGTTTGCAGACATACTTTCCTATGTAAAATCGATTTCCTGATGTCTTCTCCACCTCCCCATGAAATTTGAATGATAAGCTTTGAAACACCCTGTAGTTTCTTTTTATCAAGTTTTTTAATGTGTAAGATTTATATTCTACTTGTAGTAAGAGCCAACATTCTGTTTCTTATAACACCTTACAGCAAGTATTGTTTTCATTGTGAAGTGGACTTTACATCTAGGAAGCATAAGGTTTTCTTTTAATGTCTGCAATAGTGTTTAGATAGTAAATAGGAATTTGAGTAGTAAAATCCATTATTTGGATTTTGTGTGAAAACCTTCTTATAAGTAGTGAGTATTTTGGGGTAACTAAAAGTAAATGTGACCAACTCTTAAAATGTGCAGGTTCTTTTATCATTTCACAAGTCATTGCAAGTGAGTTCTATTTAATCAGCTGTCATGTCTGAAAAATTAGACTGCAAATTCTGCCTCCTTTGTTTTTATGTTCTTAAAATGCCAGAATTTCCCTGTTAGCATAGAAGAACTAGGATACTATTTACAAATCCTTGTGTGTGTGTGTGTGTACATATATATAATTAGATTATACCAAAATCAGTTAATTAAAACCATTCATAAGTAACAAAAATACAGCATATACATAAGAATTGATTCAAAGTAACAGTAATACAGATCATTCCAAAGTGACAGGGATACGGTTTTCACAAAATTTGAATTGAATAGAAATTCATTGTAAGAGTATTTGTTGTAAAATAGTCATTTTCTATTTGGAATGGGCAACATTAGAATCAAATGAGTTTTGTTTGTTTCTTGGAACTGTTAAAAGTCCACTAAAAATAAATGCATTTGTGTTTTTTTCCCTCCTTCTAAAATATTAAATTTGCCTTAAATTTTCATTGATACAAGTTTATCAGCAATAAGCATATTGCTAAATTATCATATAAGATATGTAAAGGTATTTTGGCGATAGATGGGAGTCGAAAGGAATACTCACACAGGACGGGGGTTTTGCCTTTCAAAACCTAACTTTATAAGAAAAGATCACACATAAAGAAAGTCCTTGTGTCATAATTTTAGATACCATTTTAGACTATAACTTAAGCTATCAGATGTATTAAAATTAGCATTTAATAATCATTTTCCTGTACATTACATGATAGTATATAATTTTTTTCCTTGCTTTGAGAAAAATTTTTCAGAAGTTCTATTCAAATTATTCCAAAGTTTTAATTCACAAAATACATTAATAAATTTTAAAATTAATTAAAACATACAAGAAAGACTATTTACAAGATGAAGTAGCAAAACCTTTCATGGGAAGTGGAAGGCAGGTACTCAGTGAGCTCAGTCTCTGACAAAACGTCCATGTTAGAATCATCGGAAATATCACTGTCTAACTCTTCAGAAAATGAATCATCACTCTCCATGTCACTAATTGGCTCATTTACCATGTGAATATATCTTTCCTCAGATAAACAACATTTTCTTGCCATAGTAAACTGAAATAAAGGTTTCCGAAATAAAAAGGGAAATGTGCAAAATTTAAGCAATAAAAGCAATGAAAAGCATAGCATAAAGACCCTACACAGTAATGGAAAAAAAAAAAAAAAAAAGGATTTGAAGGGACATCAGAAATGCGAATGTTTATATCACTTGGCGAGTGAAAGAGCCAGGCTCTGTTTGTTTGCATTATATTTTCCCTCTTCCCCTACGACAGCTGATACCAAAGTTAGGTAGAATGTGATCAAATTGAAGATAAGGATCCTAAAACTATGCTCAGTTGTTTTTTAGATTTCAAAAGTAATAAACACAAGACGCCATCTAGAGGTCTTTAAAAAATGGTTCAGCGTAAAATGCACAAGCTCATTCTCCAGTGATGCATAGGTAGGAGGCTTGGTCGTGAGACATTCGTAGGAAATGTATGTTTGGGACACCTGTCTGGAAAAGGTTAATAGTGCTTAGAAATTTTTCTGCACTGTAGATATTGAACTAAATGAAATAGAATGAGATATGAAAGAATTTTCATTGTATGCATAAATTTCTTTAAAACCAAAATTTATTTATGGCTAATTGTAATTTTATTTGTTTCTTAGATTTTTGGCTGATTTAATGGATAATACAGATTTAATACGGAATGTTGCTTTGATAGGCCATCTTCATCATGGAAAGGTTAGTCAAATTTTAAGTAATTTATTTCATTATATCTCAGGAATAAATTTTTATTTAAGTTTGAAGAATTAAAAAATAATCTTTTTGTTTCATGCTGATATTTGATAATCTTGATGTTTATATATTTTTCAAAGTGGTGTTGCTGAGCACTGTCTAATATTGAGATTTTATATTGTTTAATCCTAATTTTATTATGAAGGTTATAATAATCCTATTATAAAGAAATTAGAAATTTATAAAATTGGTGTGTGAAAGTAATTAATCCTTCAACCACTACCAGAACACATTATGTCCTATGAAGTTAAAGAAATTCATAGTAATAAAATGGAACTGCAAACAATCTACCCCATGGGTGAAACTCGTATTCAAACTTTGTATGTTGCCAAACTGTGTATAGCGTGTTTTATTAATGAAAAATAAATAATTTGTTTTAAATATATGATTTCTACTTATTTTCATAAATCATATTTTTCTTATATAATGCCCATTTTCAAATACAGTCAAAAGTCGTTAATTCGGACACCCATAATCCGAAATGATCTATAATCCAGACCTCAAAGCTACAAACTTTCTGCGCATGCGCGAACATAGGCATTTACGAGTGTGCGTAAGACCTTTAAGGCTGCGAATATGTGTGTGCGCATGTGCGTTTAATGTGTAATGGACGGTATAAGCTAAGCTAAAATTATCTAATTCAGTTAATGTTGCACATTGCGTTGTTCTTTAATCTCGAATTGGATCCGGCTTATTATTTTTTGCAGACTGTTAGAGCAGTTTTATAAAAGTAAGCTTGAACTTTCGATTATGTCAAATAGAATTTCCGATATATATTTACTAATATGTAAAGGATCTACAAAGTGAAAGTATGTTTCGAAATCCGAAATCTGTTTATCAGTTTCACGCCACGGCGGGCAATGAATTGGAAGTTGATCTGTCAGCACTATCCTTATCTTCAGGGCAGATGTTTTTATTTTATTTGGCTTATAATTCCTTACTAAATGTAGTATTTCATCTCGATGTACTCCGTCTTTCATATGATTTAAATCAAATTCCTCGTCATTATAATTCGCTTCCGATAGTGAAGAAAGTACCCAGAGCTTATTGAAAACAAAAAAAATTTCGATTGACAAATTAGTCGGTATTCTCAACACAGCAATTATAGGACTTCAACAGCGGAACTTTGTAACTAAACAAGAAATTATGTCTGTTTAATAGAATTAAAGAGAAAGTATTATCACATGAAACGAAGCAACTTAAACAACTTACATTGAAAGAAATGTTTAATAAAGTAAACAAATAAATATTAAGCTTTTTCTTTTTGTAAATTTTGATATCCTTTAGATCATAATTGTTCTTTATTTCATAAATTACGGTTTCATATTTTGAATTTTGTAATTTCTGCATGCCATCTTACCAGATTTAAACTGATTATCTATAATCCGGAATCGCCCGAAGACCCGACGAGTCCGGATTAACGACTTTTGACTGTAACTGATTTCACCAGTTTGAATTTAAAAAAATTCTCGATGCAAATATTGAAAATTTTGATCTGTCCATTTCCCAAACATTCTGGGTTTTTAAATTTTTATAGTTCTATAGTTTGGCTACTTTGAAAATGCACATTCATGAAAAGATATGTTCTTGAATTTCAGACAAATGGATAGTTTAAAGTTTAATTCTAGTTTTAATTTTTTTTTTAATTTAATAGAACTGTAAACAATGCCTCATCATTATCTGGATGAGCTTTTATTTTCACCAGAGTTTCAGCATATGTTAGCCCTATAGGCTACAACTTTATATTTAATTTTAATTTCCATGAAAACTTCGGGGGAAATTTTATGATTTCCTGCTTTTTGAAGTTTTTGAGCCATTCTTATTAGCTTTAAATTCATTGCTGATGCAATCAAGCTGCACGGTTAAATTGTAGCTTTCTTCTGCAGCATTAAACTACTACTTGTAACTGTGATTGCAGTGTTACTGAAACTTCCACACGCATACTTCTACACCTGGGTATTCTAATTTTCAAATTTTGCATACCTTTTTGATGTAATTATAAATTTTACAACTCTTTATTCTTTGTTGTATTTGCAAGAGGTATTCCGAATTTTGAAGCATTTTCTTCAGCAGATAGTTTTTTCTGCAAAGGTTTTAATATTTCATCTTTTCGTTGTATTGGAAGCATTTAGCTTATTTCTGCAGTATTCTTCAGGACTATGATGCAAACATGTATGGAATCTGCAGGAATGTCAACTGAATTCTTGCATTTCTAAGAGAGTTCATCTTTGTGAAGTGAAAGAAATTATAAATTATAGCTCAGCCATCATTATGTGGAAAGTTAAATGTCTTAGAAAATTCTTTTGAATTTTTTCCCTTTTAATATGTACAGAAATGAAGAATCGTGGCCGACAGTGGGAACCTTAATAATTACAAATAAACAAAGGGAACTGCTGAATGTTTCCTAGAAAAATGTAGAGATTCAACTGCTTATTTGTTGCTGTTATGCAGGAATCTGAAATTTGAGATAACAAAACTTTTAAAAAAAGTTGATGTGACTTCCTTGTATGGCCTGTTAAATTATACACATTTTTTGCTGCATTTCATTTAAATTTATTTCCTTGCATTTCATTAGAGGTATATTTCTCATTCATTTAATTCAGTTCCCACTTTGCGGCAAAGAAAAAAAAAAAAAAAAACTCTAAACATATTTATTTAGAATTATAAAATACAGAAAAATATAAAACACCAAATACAGTCAAAACAGGTAAAAAATATATATATTTTTACAATTAAAATTACAGTTTCTACTCAAAATTCAGCCAGCGGGCAAGAAGGCAGATTTTTCAGTGTACAAAACTGGAAGTTTACTTTTGATCCCACTTGGCAAAAAAGACATTGAAGGTGCAGAAACTGAATTCACTATTCTATTGAGTGTTAAGTATAAATGAATGGCAGTTTGTTATGCTTAACTCGCCACTTAAAAGTTTTAAATTATTGATAATTCTACAACAATTACATGCAGTTAGCTGAAGGCATAAAAACCTTAACCGGAACATAAAAACTACAGAATTCAATCACTTTTAAAGCAAAAAATGCACAATTTATCAACATATAAGAATTTTAAAAAAAAGTTCACTGAGTCAGGTAGCAGAGTCGGAAAATATATATATATTTATATATGATTGATGCAACCGATTGCAGTGAAAAAGGGAGGCACACAACTACATGTTGTAGCAGTCCCATTTACAAAATTTCAGCATTCTATGGCTAATCGTTCTTGAGTTATGCAAGATATGTACGTATATACAGACGTCAAGGAAAAAATCTCTTTTGAATCCACTTTACAATCCTTTATGGCAAAAACAATCCGTTGTTCTCTCCATATGTACAGATGTTGCTCAAAAACATTGTTCAAATTCTTTCGAGTATGGTTGAAATGGATATTTTCGTTGAAATATGATACCCATAATTTTTCGGGATTCCAATATTTCCTTTACTTCATGCAGGGAAGTAAAAATGAATACTGTTAAAATGGGAAAACATATTGATTTAATACCAAAAATGTTGAGAATAATTTACCCTCAATGTGCTTAGAAATTTGAAATTAAGGTATTCAAGATACTGAAGTTCATATATGCATTAATTCAAAAAGTAAAAGTAAGATATTGCATTCATCACGCTTTTACTCACAAGTCATAAAACTGTATTTTATGACCATGAAGAAAATAACAAACACTGTCCCAGGAGATAAAATACCCATTTCATGTTTGTGTGTTATTGCATGCATATGAATAGAAAAAAAAAAAAAAAATACTAGGCTATATATTTACATTTCATAATTACAGTTTCATCTATATTTTTTTCATGGTGGTACTTTTCGAAGAAAGTGACACCACCTTTGAAAAAGCTCAACCCAATATTGCATGTTTTGCACATGTACCAGGATCTGTATCAGATTCACTATCTGAAAGCAATTCGTGTAGCACATTCAGTATTGAAATTAGTGCACTTTCAGAAATGGTCAGCTCTCTCTCCGATCCATTTGGAAAATAATTAAAAACCTGAAAAAAAAATAAACCAATATTATATCTACAATTTGAAATTAAAAGCTATAAAATAAAATAAAGTAAACATCTGCAACTCAAAACTATTAAACATAGCGCTTACAAAACTTGTTTGAATGAAAGAGAAAAAAGAACTGCTCTAGTGAAAAACCAAACAGCTAACTGATAAAATTACCCCTGACCTTCAGAACATCACCCCGAACAATTTCTTAGTTGATAACCAAAACTCCCCTCAAAAAAAAAAAAAAAAAAAAAAAAAAAGGAAGAGGAAAACAGGAAATGAAACACAGAAATGAGCTGCAAAGATACGGTCTTGTCCTAGTCTCTCAGAGAGTCCACTAGGGGCACACGTGATGTTCGCCGTTCAATTTTAGGCAAGATTTCAAGGTAAAAATTTAAAACTAATATAGAATAAGAAGATTAGCATACATCCAAGAAAATAATATAGAAATTTCTTTTCAAACAATTCATTTTATATCCTAAAAAATATCTGGAAGGTTTCTTTGGAAAATGAGGGTCTTTAAAAACTAAACATAGCTAAAATATATGGACTTGTTTGTGTTGGGCTGCCATCTACTATAAGTAAAGAAGTTTCAGATTAACCTACAGTAACCTATAAATCCTTTTTCATTCAATTTTGCTATGCGTACAGAAGGAAATTTTTAGATGTGCCCAGACTGGCTCACCATGCTGCAAAGGTTTAAAGCTGCTGTGCAAACTTCCTGCTCGTAACTGTTCCAATTAAGAGTTGTATTTTGGTTCATCTTAAGTTGTAATTTACTAATTTCAATTGTTGTCATCTCCTGGCGCCAGAAATAAATCAACCTCTTGATTGTGAGGAAAAGGATTTTATAACCGTGAAACCATTTTTCTTTCGCAGTCCTTTTCTCTCATTGCAAGTTTGCAAATGCCATTTATGGCATGGTTCAAAACTCAGTATCATTTTATGATTTTTCAAATGCAACTGTTTATTTTTGATGATGCTTCTTGTTTGAAATAAACCAGTCACAGACTTTTCATCCATGGGAATTCCAAAATTGTGAAATCCGTGGCAAGGAAGACATGCTTTAAATAAATATTTATTTCTTGAATTGTGTGAAATTAAACTCATTAATTGTGTTACGTCTATCACAAGTAATTAAGCAATAACAGTTTGGTGATTTTGGTTACGGTTCCAGAAATGGACTAGTACCAAATTTAAACAGTTTTCTTTTTATTTCATAAATTAATTGTCACATTGTGTTTTTAAATTGAAAAAATAAAGCATACAAATTCATGCAATCATTTTGAATAACCCTGCATGGTTAAACAGTTACATTAAAGTAATGTCCTAATTCATTAAAGAAATTAATTTGTATAATTATTCAATAGTTGCAATGATTTTGAAAGTTCTTCGTTTGTTGTTTTATGAAAATCTTCTGAAGATTATAATAAAATATTTAATAACTGAGGCTGAAAGTGTGAAAGAAATTATAATCAAATGTATCTTATGTTTAGATTTTGCAATATTAATATTAAATCATGTTTTTTTTTTTGGTCTATTTTATTCAACTGTTGCATTCAATCCAATTTAATTCATTTATATGCAAAGCAAGTGTCCTTTCATATTTGCATGAAATTTTCTTTTTCAGCTGCATATTCTTGACCCACAATAGACATTTCCACTGTATAATATAATTGTAAATTATTTTCCATTTTACAATAGCACTAACTTTTCCTATTTCATTTCAGACATCATTTGTTGATTGCTTGATAGAGCAGACACATCCTGATATGAAAGCTAGAGAAGGTTCAAATGTGAGTATTTAATAGCTTTATTGTTAAAATGTTTTTTTATTCATTTAATAGTTCTTAAAATTAAATTTTAATTAAAAAAAATTTCAGCTGCGTTACACTGATACACTGTATACAGAACAAGAGGTAAGGTGTTTTTATTTCTCTTTAGAATTAAGTTTCAAATGGTGCTATGTAATTGTTTATTATTTATTTTTTATACTTTTTACTTTATCAGCGTGGTGTGAGTATTAAAGCTACTCCTGTGACATTTGTGCTACCAGATCTAAAGGGAAAATCTTTTCTTATGAATGTTTTTGATACGCCTGGTAAGTAACTTTGTGTCTTGTGAGCAGATTGTTTCATACAATTTGCAGTTACTAAAGTTTTTACACTGATACACTTTCAGTAAAGTACTTCAAACGTAAAACAGCTCACAAACTGGCCCTGCATTTTTTATTGCTGGTTTCTTATATACAGTCAAAAGTTGTTAATCCGGACTCGTCAGGACTTTGGCGATTCCGTATTATCGATTTTTCCGGATTATAGATCATCAGTTTAAATCTCGTTAGATGGCATGCAGAAATTCTAAAATTAAAAATATGAAACCGTAATTTATAAAATAAAGAACAATTATGATCTAAAGGATATCAAAATTTACAAAAAGAAAGCTTAATATTTATTTGTTTACTTTATTAAACATTTCTTTCAATGTAAGTTGTTTAAGTTGCTTTGTTTTATGTGATAATACTTTCTCTTTAATTCTATAAACAGACATAATTTCTTGTTCAGTTACAAAGTTCCACTGTTCAAGTTCCGTAATTGCTGTGCCGAGAATACCGACTAACTTGTCAATCGAAATTTTTTCGTTTTCACTAACCTCTCTGTCACCTTCTTCATGTCTTTATCCATTTTTTGCAGCAATTCCACTTTTTGTTTGATGGACATCGAAACATACTTTCATTTGTAGATCCTTTGGGAGCTCCAGCATCGGAAATTCTATTTGACATAATCGAAAGTTCAAGTTTACTTTTATAAAATTGCTCTTACAGTCTGCAAAAAATAATAAGACGGATCCAAATTGAAGATTAAGGAACAACGCAATCATCAACATTAACTTAAATAGATAATTAGATAATTTTAGCTTATACCGTCCGTTATACATAAAACGCGCATGCGAAAACGTATTCTGCGCGTGCGCACACGCATATGCGCAGTCGTAAAGGTCTTACGCTCACACGTAAACGCCTATGCGCATGTGTCAACGCGGCGCATGCACAGAAAGTTTTTAGCTTTGAGGTCCGGATTATAGATCATTCCGGATTATGGGTGTCCAAATTAAGGACTTTTGACTGTATATGGCGCCTTGTGTAAAATGGCTATATGTACATGACATAAATACATGAAATAATACATGAAAATATGTTGTTGAAATTATAATACTACAAAGATATTTAAATTGTCTAAATGTATTTCGGGAGCTAATATTAAATAGTTATTTCTTTGAAGACAAATTTTAAAGTGTTAGTGATAAATTGCCTTAATATAAATTTTAAATGTGAGGCTGCACATAAAAGAATAAAATGGTTTTAGAAAGCATTTTTACGAAAAAAAAGTCATTCAAAAGTATTCAAATCAGTTATAGCTGTCAGAGGTGACTGTTGGTTAAATCTGTAAAACTTTTGTATCGTTTTCGTTGCTGTATCCATGAATTTTTCTTTTGTTCCTTTTAAGTGCTTGTTATTTAAATTTTTAATTTTTTTAATGCTCTGTGTAAAATAAATTGTCAACGTGATGTGTATTTTTGTCATTGTAAATACGAGTCTTCAAAGGAAATGCTCTGTGAATGCATCTCTTTTCAGAGGTACATAGATATGCAATGGCACAATTAAATAACTGAGTTAAATCCAATTCTGAAAAATTCCATGAAAAATTTCCCCTTCTGTAGCTTACATACATTCAGCTGAATAAATAAACACTCTTAATTTGTGTACTACATCTAAATATCAAATTTTGCATTTTGTAACTACATCTGGATATCAAATCTAATTCTTTTATTGACTTCCATGGTGAACACTGAATTTAACCAACCTGTAAGTGGAATTTGTCTTAAGTGTTCAGACATGGGATTAGAAAAACTGTATATTTAAAGGGGTAGAAATTTATATATTGTTATTTTCTAGGTTTATTTAGGAAATATGGTGCTGATAAGTTCTAATAAGTTCAGAGATGTTATTACTAAAAATTTTGCCCCCCAAAAGGGTACTTAATATATCATGCCCATGTCATCGTACTTAAATATAAATATTCCAATTTTTTTAGTCAATGTCTGTACTGATAGTTAATGATATTTTCAAATTGCTTTTCTCATGCTTGCGAGTACTTTCTGGGTAAATGATTAAATCTAAGCTCTCAAAAAATAGTTGTCAACATTTTCTATTTTGGAGCAAAGTAATGTTTGGTAAGTGATTCATGTGATGTGAAAGTGAGTCTAAAGAAATGTATTAAAAAATTTGTATTTTCAAGTTCATATTTTGACAGTACAGTTTGTGACTAATTAGTTGAATTTTTGCGTAATCTAACATCAAGTTGTAAATATATAATGGGAATAAAATTTTAACAGTAATTTGAATTTTATCAAGTACAGTAAAAGCTCGACTATGGAGAGAGCCTAGGAAATACCAGATATGTGAAAAATCCCAATAGTTGAGTATAAAAAGTACAATTTCATGGTAAAAAAGCCAAATGAATGGAAAAAATTTCCAGTCTAAAATTATAAAAACAATCATTGTGTAATCATCAACTTTGATATCAAAAGCTTGCATTTAAAATTATGTAAGTTTGGAGGGGGTGCATTTCAGACATTAAAAAAAGCCAATTCATTTCATAGACTTTGAATGTATAAAGTAAATCATCTCCACTTAAGAAATGTTATCAACCAATAAAAGTTAACAAAGATGTTGCACCAATCATTTTTGTAAAAGCTTAAGGAAACGTGATGCTAAAGCAAAGTTTAAAGTTTAAAGAAATTAAACATTTAGCAGTAGTAGCAATGAAAGCTCCCTGAGATATGTTGTGCAGACATTGAAGACAATAAAAGATTTTGTACTTAACCAATTTATTAACAATATAATAAAGAATAAAAACACACAAAAATAAATGTCAATAATATCAGAGTATTAGGAAAAATATAATATAATCATCATTCATCAAATAATATTTTTACCTGGTCTTCAAAACACTGGCATTCTATATAAATAAAAATGTCCTAAACAGTAATTATGCGGCCTAAAAATAAAGCTGGCTACCCATTCAATAAGTCCATAATCAATGGTCAAGAAAAACACCTGAAAATTTAAATGAAGTTCTTGAAAACACTTAAAACCGGCCTAACTCCGTTTGCACAAGGAATCGCCGTTCACGTATTTTTAATTCCGCCTTCATTGAAGAAACATGGATGCCGCCCACGGCAGTCACTCACATGGTAGCCTCTGGAACCGAAGAACTTTATTCTGGAACCATCATCTCGCAAACCGGAATCAAGGCATTTTTATTCACCGGACTGCATGCATCCTTTTGAAGGGGCTGGAAACCGCTCTCTCACTTGCCGGGAAACCAGGAAACAGGAACTAGAAGGTTGAGCCAGAGCGACGCGAGATACTTATAGCAGCAGAAGTAGGATTGACGTCATCTCACGGCAACCAATCAGCTATCGGCACGAATCGGCTTTTCAGATGACGTAACATCATGTTTCGTTTTTGCATCTCAATTAGGTTGAAACAGTCCGTTCTCAATGCAAACAGTGGCAGCAAGAAAAAGAAGTAGAAGTAACTACTATATTACATTAAAATAAGAACTAAACTAAATAAACATTTCAAGGAGGAGAGATGATGCAGTAAAAGGTTTAAAAATAAGCTATATTTTCCAACAAATGCCCCCCACATCATCATCTCCGACCTGAAATAAAAACCGAATGCCAGTATCTTTACAAAATTCAAAACAAGAATAAATAAATATCACAATTTCATTCAGAAATTTTTAAGAAAATTTTTCTTTGGGAAAATCTTATCCCATTATTCAAAAAAATTTTACTGTAGCAAGAAAGTCCAACATGTTACAGAACAATACAAAGACATATATATGATCACACACTCAATACTTTTACCCAGGGCCCTGGTCACTCATACAACATTCTACACTATACAATTTTACATTTACCTAATATCCATCATAATATGACTTATAACATATTAGTTTCAAATAAACAAAACTCTTAATTTAAATACACACAAAAACAAATTTCATAAGAAAATTGTTCCACAAAATCTTATCAGGTTATGCTTAGTCAGCGGTTTTGTCATGGGATCAGCCAGATTATCTTTACTTGGAACATATTTTAAATCAAAAATTTCCCTGTTCAATAGATCACGAATGAAAAATAGTTTCACATCTATATGTTTTGTCCTTGAGTTTTCAATGGGTGGGTGATTTTGTAAAACATATAGCAGCCATGTTATCAGCAAACAATATTGGCCTCGAAACATAGTTACTTGCAATCTTAAACTGAATGCATTTCATCCAAAATGTTTTTAAACCAAACTAATTCTTTTGCTGATTCAGTCATGGAGATAAATTCAGCCTCCATAGTAGATAAACTCACTCCCCTTTCTTTAAATGTACGCCAAGATACAGGTGATTCTCCCAACAAAGCTATTTGTCCACCAATAGACACCATATCATCCCTGCTTGAAGCAAAATCCGAATCTGAATATATATTGAGCTTCAGTTCCTTGCATACCAGTTTAAGTTTGTGCTGTCTGGTATTGGAAACGTACCCTAAAAGTTTAAGTAATCCTTCCCAGTGAAACTTACCAGGATTGCTTTGGAACTGAGAAAATATATTAACAGCATCATAAGCTATATCCGGACGAGTACGATTGCAAAGAAACGAGAGACATCCCAAAACATTTCTATAAGGATAATTCATCATTTCAGTCGTTTCTTCTTGTGTACTGGGACTTTGAGACTTTGAGTATTTCACACCTTTAACTATTGGAAGGGAAGGGAAGTAATTTGTATTTTAAAAGACTTGAATCGATCAACTATGTCTTCTATATATAATTGCTGATGAATTAAAACACTATTGTTCTCATATTCAAATTCCACACCCAGAAGCTTTCTTGTTTTACCCTAAAATTTTCAAATCAAAATGTGAACTTCAGGACTTTTAATATCCTTTTGGCCTGAACTTCACTTTTCCCAAACACAACTATATCATCAACATAAACCAACAGAATGACAAAATCTTTAAAACGATAGACACAATTAC